TCTCAACATTTTTTCAATATACAGTGTATTTCATATACATTATTGACATAACCGAAATCTTGAATTCAGAAGTGAATCTGAAATTCGAAAACAAATCGCACAGCTTCGTGGTTGACTTAAAAAAAATACATGTGAGTAGAAATTTGAGTTTTATACAGGATGTTTCTTTTATCATGTGGTAACATTGCCATATTCTAAACCGTAACAGATTCGAAAACGATTGAATGGTAAAAAAGGTAACTGTCATCGGGACAATACAATGGGCAAAGAAAAATTACGGAGACTCTCTCCCTTCTTGAGTTATACGGAGAAAACAAAAAATGCTGTTTTTCATTTTTTTCGAATGGAATTGTTATTTCGAAGAATATCAAAAAATGGAAGTGGAAAATGTTATTGTGCTATGACGATGTAATAATATATATTCGATAAAGCGTTCAGTGTCAACATGGCCACCATCAAATTTTTTTTTAAATACGGACCTGTCTTTTCAATTACAGATATTGATAAAGCAATAAATCTACAATTCAAGGGTATATCACATTTAATATTTTTATAGCGTTTCGGTTGAAATAACCAGCATCATCAGTGACAACAATTTTAAATTACCGTTCTGTCATTACCTACTTATTTTGTAAATTGTTTCGATTATAATTCAGACAAACCAATAAATTTGACAGGTAGGTACCCTGACACAATGAAAAATCGTACTTTTTCGTTTTGGGAATGTTTGTAATGCCGTAATCTTTCTTTCAAGGCTTATTACTCCCTAATCAATTATAATTCCTAATATTTTTATAATTCTCAATCCTGGAAGTAATGAAAATATCAGTTTTTGATCAAAATTCGACTGTATAATTTGGTATTATCAAATAGCATCTCAATTCATTTACATTCTTAAACGCGTAGGCCTTGCTTGGTTTCTATGGCAGGAAAAATTAATGGGTTGTTGATATCTGTTGAGAACTGTCAGACGTTTATGAACAAATCAAATCATTTGTTTTGTACTCTCTCAATACGATCTATGTTTATGTGGTAGTGAGGATTCCAAACAACGGATGCAAAGCAGAGCCCACTATGTACATATGCATAAATACAGTGCGAGTCTCTAACATGGAACAAATTCACTAAATCAAAGGTGTTGTTTCTTTCGGAAATAGACTCGGACACGTTGATTAGTATTTTAAAGTGCTCTCATTTTCATGCAAAAAAATTATACAGTGTGTCTCAAATATGAGATATGACTTCATCGATGATTTTTTTAAATGACAACCCTGTTTTTTTAATGACTTTTATTAAAGGGTTCAACAAGTTGCACATGTTTGCCAAATTTCAATTTTTTACTCCTTGTCTTTCAAAAGATATTTAACAAATATTATCGAATTCAAAAAATGAATTCACTTCAATAGTCTTCCTTCAATAAATGCTTAGAATGTCAGGGATACCTGACAATGACATTGTCATAAAAAAGTTATCATTGCAATATTTGTGCACAAATATTGCACAGTTTGCTGTTCGCCATTAGTAAAATGCCGTACTTGACTGAAACACATAAGATTAAAATTCTAATGATGATTGGCTACGGAGATAGAACAAGAACACAAAATGAAGGTACCCATTTATTCAGAGAGAAGTATCCTGATTTACCAATTAATGTGAAGTTACCCACAACTTTTCATCCACAGTTTATGACGAAGGACAATCGTGCGTTGAACAATACCGACTACCCAGGAAAGACTCATCAATAAAATATCAAATTTCTCACTTATCAAAAATAGTTTGTTGACGAAAATTTCAGAATAAATTCTTCGAAAGTATATCTATCGACGTGCTAAAACAGATTTGCGTACCTTACGTTCCTTGGGCGCGAAAAAAAAATAGATTCGAAACTGAATTACTCAAATAAAGTCAAATTTCTCACTTATCAAAACTAGTTTGTCGATGAAAATTTCAGAATATATTCTTCTGAAGTATATCTATCGACGTGCCTCAACAGATTTGCGTACCATACGTTCCTTCGGTGCGAAAAAAAAAGTTTCGTATATTCGGAACTGAATTACTCATAAAAGTCAAATTTCTCACTTATTAAAAATAGTTTGTCGATGAAAATTTCAGAATATATGCTTTGAAAGTATATCCATCAACGTGCCAAAACAGATTTGCATACTATACGTTCCTTCGGTGCGAAAAAAAAAAGTTCCGTATATTCGGAACTGAATTAAAAATTTCAGAATATATGCTTTGAAAGTATATCCATCGACGTGCCAAAACAGATTTGCATACTATACGTTCCTTCGGTGCGAAAAAAAAAGTTCCGCATATTCGGAACTGAATTACTCATAAAAGTCAAATTTCTCACTTATCAAAAATAGTTTGTCGATGAAAATTTCAGAATATATTTTCCCGAAGTATATCTATCAACGTGCTGAAACAGATTTGCGTACCATACGTTTCTTCGGTGCGAAAAAAAAAGTTTCGTATGTTCGGAACTGAATTACTCATTAAAGTCAGATTTCTCACTTATCAAAAATAGTTTTTCGATGAAAATTTCAAAATATATTCTCCTGAAGTATATCTATGGACGTGCTGAAATTTTCATCGACAAACTATTTTTGATGAGTGAGAAATTTGATATTTTGTGGATGAGTCTTTCCTGGGCATTCGGTATTGTTCAGCGCAGGATATTTCAAATGACATACTTTTCACAAAGCAAAATTTTTACCGAGAAACTAATTTTCCAGTTCTCATACGCTACCTGTTTCGGTACAAATTAATTTTTCCTGAATAATATTTCACTCTTATTTTACATTTTTTTCGGTATTAATGCTTGTATACGGTTACTTGGCTGATATAATGAGTTTATGTAGAATGCTGACTCATTTATTCGACATTTTTCAATAATATATCGTATTTTTAAAATGATAACATCGAAATACAGGTAAAATTCTTAATATTTGCAATCTGGCAACACTGTTCGCAAATCTCATTCTAAACCCTGTTCGATTGTCCTTCGTCATAAACTGTGGATGAAAAGTTGTGGGTAACTCCACACTAATGATTTACCACCCATATCGCGAAGTACCGTGAGCAAGATTGAAAAACAGTTCCGAAAATTGGCATTTTAGAAAAACAAACAAGAAGAGGTCAAAATAAATGTTCTTTTCTCTGTCGAAGAAAATCCCCATGTCCCCACTAGGTAAATAGCTGGGGAACTCGAAATTAGCCAGTCTTTAGTGCCAAGAGTTCTTAAAGCTGAACAATTTCATCCATATAAAATAACAATCCTCCGAAGATGATCCAGATAGAAGACTCCAGTTTTGCGAACAAATGATGGATCTACTAGACAGGAATGTTGTACAAAAAGAAAACCTTCTATTTTCTGACGAATCAACGTTAATGTTGAATGGTGTGGTAAATCGTCAAAATTGTCGTTATTGGGCAGACAGAAACCCACACTGGATGAGCGAAGGCGACACTCAACATCCAAAAAAAATTAATGTATGGGCAGCGATTGTTGGTGATCGAGTTGTAGGACCGAATTTCTTCCAAGAAAATCCTACTGGAGTAAGATATTTAGAATTCTTGCAGGAGGACCTAGTTCCGAATTTGGCTATTTTGTTCCCTTGTCCTATAGAAGCTGACGTCCCGAATAGAAACATCTGGTTTCAACAGGACGGCGCGCCTCCTCATTCTGCAAGACCTGTCCGTGAGTACCTGAATGATGTATTTCCAGGCAGATGGATTGGCAGAAGAGGACCCTATGAATGGCCACCTAGGTCTCTGGATTTAACACCTTTGGACTTTTTCTTGAGGGGTTACTTGAAGAACAAAGTTTTCAAGACCAAACCGGCAAATATTGAGGATTTAAAAGAACGAATAAGACAGAAGTGTAGGCTAATTTCCGTTGAAGTAATTAGAAATGTTCAAAACAAGTTTCAGTTACGTTCAGGGTATTGTCAGCTAGTAAATGGACAACATTTGAACACTTGTTTGAAGGTGATTGACAATGTTTCGTGATGAATTTCACTAGTTCGGACTTCCATTGTCTTCTACTTCTACCTATAGAAGTAATTATGGAATTACTAGGATGCTGTGTACGAAACTGTTATTTCCAACTGAAGGACGAATTCTTTACACAAGATGAGGGACTGCCAATGGGATCGCCACTTTCACCAGTCATAGCCAACATATATATGGAGTGGTTTGAGACTCTGATGTAGGTTATTTTACTATCATTTCATTTCAGGTTTATTGTTGCTTAATATAATTGTTATTTTCAACTATTCTCTTTTTTTTAATTATTCTTTTTTACTTGTTTCAGGGATTTCAAATCATTTTATCTAATAGACAATGGAAGTCCGAACTAGTGAAATTCATTTGAACACTTGTTAAAGAAAGACTATTGACTTGAATTAATTTTTTGAAATAGATAATGTTTGTTAAATATCATTTAAAGGACAAGGAGTAAAAAATTGAAATTTGGCAGGCATGTTCAACTTGTTGAACCATTGAATAAAAGTCATTAAAAAAACAGGGATGTCATTAAGAAAAATTATCTATGACGTCATATCTCATATTTGAGACACACTGTGTAATTTTTTTTGCATTGAAATAAAGGCAATTGAAAATACTAATCGACGTGTCCAAACTTATTTCCGAAAGAAACAACACCTTTGATTTAGAAAATTTGTTCCATGTTAGAGACTCGCACTGTATAAATTGAAAAGAGGTTTTGCCGTTCTGATCGTAATTAGCTAACTCTGATAACAATAGTTTCCATGGAAACTCAAATTATTCACTTTGTGGAAATAATACGTTGAACTGAAAAAGAAACAGTTTTCGAAATATTTAAAAATCATTGATGAAAATATGTTTTCTTTCTGATAGCAAACATTAACATACTTCATATGTACCCTATTATGAAGAATGTTGCGATATCGAATTATTTTTTAGATTCACGAGTTTGCCCACAATTAATTCAATTCCACACATTTCTTTTGCAGAGAACCCATAGCACTAGTCTAACGGCGAGCAGAAATAGTTGGAAAAGATCAACAGCAGTATGATAGTGAAGTGTTCGAATTTATTTTTCATTGTTCTGAGAAGACACTGAATGGGGAAATACGTTTTATTTGTACATAGTAGCATTTAGGCTCCCAATAGGAAAAAACATAAGTTTTCCGTTATTAAGTGTTGTGAATTTGAAATATTTTGTAAATTTAAGTATATTGCAAATTCATTCATTATGTCTATTATTATAAGGAGGTATATGAGGTATCATTTCATCAGTTTGATGATATGTCCGTGAAAAGTAGTGAAACAATGAGATTACTTCAATAAAAATATTGAAGTCATATATTTTTCGTTTATTTATATTCAGAATAATAATATTTTGATTTGTATCGTGAATTTTTGTAAATGATACATCCATTTTATGCTGTTCGTGTTGATTCAAACTACACGATTCTTGTACACATTCAGCACCTTGAGGCACCCTTATTACAGCAGCAGGAAAAGCTGAAAACATTCAGCACTCAGAAAAGTATATCTAATAATAATATAATAATAATGTTTATTTCCAAAGAAAAAAGATACAATTATATCAATAACAAGTTGTTAGAGTTGATTTACACATAGTAAGTTAAATAACATTATTCAATACTCTACAAAAATTGCATTTTGAAATAAACAAATAAACCACGAAGGCTAAAAAGCTAACACGTGTTATGGTACTTTTTATTTTCCAACACAATTTAGTATAATTGTTTGAAAATAATATCTAGACTTAAACAAACCAATAGAATTATAATAATGATATTCTGTACTACTTTAACAAATTAATGGAATGATAATAACATACAATGAATAATTTGTTGAAAGTTGTGCACCATTATTTGTGACAATGTAATTATACGTCATTATAGTTTTCCTACCTTTTAATGAATATTACCGCAGGGAATTCTATTGTGGTCTATCAGAATATGTATTTTTTCTTCTCTGTTTCGTGAAGGTACTGCTTGGTTCATTTTTTTAATAATTGCTGTTGAGTCTTTGATATTCCTAGGGATATTGTTAAATGATCTCGTGCATGCTTACATAAATATATCCTATCATATTTTTGGATGAGTACACAGTGCGCATCATGTTTCCTTTTTTTGCCCGGGTATTATAATTGAAGTCAATGTTTCTTAAGCTACTTTTGTTTTCGTATTGATCTACCGCTACACTGCTCTTGCAGAATAGAGTCAAAGATTCAAAAATTCCTAGTATCGTTCCGATATACGAAGTCAGATATTGATAACACCTTCAATGAAAATTTTGATCGCTTCTCTCTGTCTGGCATACCTAGTACTAAAGAAAATTATAAGGTCCAACAGTTCATGCCAAAAAAACTGCAAAACGATGTGAATAGTATGTGGATCGGGAAATGGCGATTCACTGTGATAGTCTGGGTCACAAAATCCTTTTTTTTTTTGGAACTTCAGTCCAAGGGCACTGAAAATTGTGATCCAGGGCTCATTCGATTCGGAATGACCTTCAGCAACTTTTTGAGAAATTTCAAAGAGGCTTGAAAAAATTGCAAAAGTTATAAATAATTCAGTTGAAAAAGGGGGTTTGGTTTTTTGAAAATATCTCGGGAAATATTCAAGATATCCGAAATTTGAAGGAAGATCCTTAAAAAGCAGGAAATTTCCTAAAAAAAAGTTTCACCTTCCGGAACTCTATCAGCACGCGCTGACCAATACGGACCTATGAACAATAAGAACTATTTTAACCCA